TGGTGGTGCACGCCTTTATTCCCAGCTCTTGGGAGGCTGTAAACAGGCCTATCACTATGAGTCCAATCTAGTAGTGAGACCCTGAACACCCTGCACTTTCAATGGTGAAATTTAAAAAAAAAAAAAAAAAAAAAAAAATCATAACCAAGGACAGGCTAGATAGATCAGCAGACTAAATCTCAGCGGCTGGGGTTTGATCCCTGGCTTGCCATGCCGTGCTGGGGCGCGCTGAGACAGTGATTAAGACTGGGTGTAATCCCAGCGCTGGCGAGGCTGAAAACAGGAGGATCACTAGGAAGCTGATCTATGTAGGGAGACCCTGTACGCCCTGTACACCCTGTTCTAAATTCAAAAAATAAAAATAAATAAATAAAAGTACCTTGTGACACCATGAAAGTGGTGAATATAACAACAACACAAATTGAAAACTGACTCCTGAAAAGATTGGTTTATTTAGCAGAAGCTGCAGGTCCTCTTATGGGCATAATCTGTCATGTACACCTGTCTCGCATTCCTCCCAATTAAAAATAAAATACTAAAGGAAAAGATAAACCCTAAAAATGCCATGTACGAGAAATAAATAAAACGACAGAACCCAATGGAAATAAAACGACAGAACCCAATGCCATGTACGAGAAACAAATAAAACGACAGAACCCAATGGACAGAACCCAATGGAGATAGCCTACATGTTAAAACTATCTGGAAGAGACTTTGGCACTGCTCCGAGTGACACATTACTTAATGGTACGAAGCATAAAACATGCCTGCACCAATGTGTAGATTCAGGAGAATGTTGGGAAATAGATGAAACAAGCTAATGGGATTGCAAGAGACTTCTACCTAGAAAGACACCAAGGAAAAGACTTTTCAGACTTTCCTTGGATGTACGTGAGGGTGAGCCTTATTCATTCTCCCCAACACTGCTTTGTGGTCTGGATGTCCTCTGGTTCTATACTAATTTTAGGACTGATTTTTTTCCCTAATCATGAATAATGTCATTGCTGTTTTCATAGATTACACTCCAGTTGAAGATTGTGTGGGATAATAAGGATACTTAAAATATATAAATATTATTTTTAAAGATACTTTTAAAATGTGTTCAGAGAAATATACAGACAGAAAGAGCTAAGTGGCTGCTTGATACAAGGGTGAGGGTCAGGAAAACAGGGAATAGCTACTAATAGATGCAAATTTCTGTTCCTGTGATAAAAGTGTTCTAAAATTTGTTGTGGTGATGGCTATACAATTTTGTGAATTTATGAGGGAAAACTGATTATATGCTTTAAATGGATGAGTTGTAAACTCATGGATGCACTCTAAATAAAGGCATTTGGAAGTATTCAAAGATGATGCCTAAGAACTTTCTGGAAGCAAATATGAAAAAATTCAAAAAGGCGAACAAACATGTGAATCCATGCAGCTCAGAACATTATAAAGAGATTTTAAAAAGAACAGATTAAAAATGTGTGTTTATTAGAGAAAATTAAGTGCATCTGATAGCCAAAAGTAGCAAAATTCAAAATATGAATAAACTTGTCAAACAAAGTAAATTATTAATATGTCAATGAAACTCATTCTAAACCAGGCAATGAGGGACAGGTCTGTAACCCCAGCACTTGGCAGACTGAGAAAGAACATTACAGATTGGACTCCAGGCTGGGCAACGTGGCTCAGTAAGATCCTCTCCCAAAATTTGTTTTTGCTTCATTGGTTTCTTTAATTAATGAATGAATGTATTTTTTAAGAAGAAAGATTGTGACATAGCTTGGCGGCAAGGCCTTGAGTTGAGTTGATGGTACCACAGAATGAGTGAATGGATAAAGGACGAATAAATGCATGAAGGAAATTTATTCCAGTCCTCGCTAGGTCATTGCAAGCTTCCGGTCATAGCTAGGTCTCTTTAAAATCATCTCAGAAAATCAAAATGAACTTACGAGAGTAATTACTATTTTTTTTCTAATCTTCTCACCTTAGAATTTTAACATCATAATGTTAGATTTCAAGATAAAGTGAATTTGAGAAAATAGCCCTATTTCCATCAGTGTAGGGATTAGGCAAAAATTGTAATATTCTGATGTATTTGTCTTATATTAAAAACTAAATTTTGAGTAACTTTTATTACTACAGAATAGTTGAAATTGCCTGTGCATATACAGACTTGGAATATATTATATGTTATAAATTATAGAATATATATTTATATTTAAATCCTTGAGTCAGTTCAAGGGTTTAAATTAGATGAGTATTTCTTTGCTAGTATTTCAAGGTGAAAACTGCTAAGATAAAATCTTAATAATTCATGACTACTTTCATTTCTTGTCAATACAAATTTTTTAAAAATCATGCTTTTTTAGCTTATCCCCAGATATTTTATTAGAAAAATGCTTGCTAGCATAGTTTAAATAATAATCACCATCAATCCACTCTTTCATTCTAGTGAATTACCCAAAAATGATTTTGTATTTACAATAGAATGTTCAAAATTCAATCCACTATCAAACTTTAAAAGAAATTGTGAAAAACAATGCAGGCATCCTTTTTAACAGAGGGAAGTGTACATAATGTTAATAAAACATGTGTTACATTCTAAATACATTTTAAATTAATAAGATATGTAAAAGTTGGCTTGTTTTATAAAATGCCATGTCTTCTTCTTTTTTTTTTTTTTTTTTTTTTTTTGGTGGAATTGGGGATTGAACTCAGGCCCTTGCGCTTGCCAGGGAAGTGCTTATTCCACTGAGCTATCTCCCTGGCCCCTGCCATGTCATTGTGATAGTGATTCTTCAACCCCAATGGTTCCTCACTCTGATCATTATATTCTTGCACATGGCCCCCAAACCTATTTATTTTGTTTTCTTTTTATTTATGTATTTGGAACAGGGTCTCACTAAGCAGCTTGGACTTGTAGTGACCCTCCTGTCTCAGCCTCCCCAGCACTGGGATAAGAGACATGCACCACCACGCCCGGTCTCTGTGGCCAGCTCAGCCTGCCTGGGGGCAGAGCCGGCACAGCATGTGGTGCCAGGGACCAAACCCTGGCCCCTGTGCTTGATTAAGCAGGCCCTTAGTCTGCTGAGCTATCTCGCTGGCCCTCCAAAACTTATTAAAATAAACTCATAAATAATATATTTAGTGGCTCTGATTCTTTTAAAACTATATAGTCATTAAGTCACTATGTCATGGTTAAATACATTAAAAATTAAAATCCATTCAGAATTTTAAGGTTCTGTTAAAAAAGAATAAATACATATGTAAGAAATAAATGTGCATACACATGGGTATCATATACTTGCAAATTCGAGGATGGAAATATTTATATGCTGTTTAGTATGTGTAGACAGAAAAACTAAATTCTAAAATTATGAATTTTGGCATATTGTATGAATACGTGTGTGTGTATATATAGATAGACAGACAGACAGATAGACAGATAGATATGTAAACTATTTGGGCTATACATATATATTTACATATCAACACATTTTAAATAAAAATGTTACAATTTAAATAGAAATACATTACAAGTGTTTGATGGACACCAGGTGTCACTGCAAAAAGACTAAACATTGAACTGATTAAATTGTTAAAGCAAAATCTGTATTAGAGTAACACAAACAATAGTATGGAGTAGTATTTTAGGAATGTCCATTTTGCTTTTTAGATTTACACCTCAGTACTGACACTTATGGAAGATATCACTCAGTATAGACAGGGAATGGGAATCATTATTCTCTGCCCTTCACTCTTCAAGCCAGGGAAAAACCAAGTGCTGTTTTTGCTAATTCAGCAGAACTGTATGAATGCTAGATTTTCTCTTAACATTCCAGTATCCTGCAGCGCTTGTAGCCAAGCTGTCCCTTTCAGAGTCTGCATGTCAGGTGGATCACTCCGAGTCCGATCCAATGGTGAGACCCTGAACCCTCTGTAGACCCTTCCCCCGCCCCCCACAATAAATAAATAAATAAATAAATAAATAAATAAAAGCCTGCAAGTCTTTTTTTTTTTGTATTTGTAATTTTTAGGGAAGGGTCTACTGGGTGTTCGGGGTCTCACTACTGGATGGGAGTCATAGTGATTCTCCTGTTTACAGCCTTCCAAGAGCTGGGATTACAGGTACCGCGCCATCACGCCCAGTCTCAATGGCCTTCTCACTGCGCCCCAGGGGCGGGGCCGGCCCCGCAGGCCTGGGGATTGAATCCCTGGCCCCGACACCTGCTTGCAGGCATGTTAACCCACGGAGCTGTCTGGCCGGCCCTGAGTCTGTATGTCTTCTCACACAGCCAGGGCCTTGGAGCAGGGTAAGGTGTTAATAAGAAATCATCTCCAAAAACTTTTCCTTGCTTGAAAGTGTAACAGACTCCCTACTCCCTAAGAACAGAGCCCCTCTTGGAGTCAATCTATTCTGTGTTTATACCGGAAAACTTAGTACGAGGCCCACACGTGCGGTCTCTGATTTATCGCTCATACTGCATTTTAACATTTTAGAGGGCTTTGAACTTTACTTACAGTCGAAGCCTTGTATTAGAATTAAATGGGTGCTCTATCTTAATGGGGGAGCTGCTGCAGAAAATCGAAGCACTTACTTAAAAAGCTCATGTCTGTCAATAGCTCTGTTGGTTTGGGGGTCGATTGCGTAGACAGTGAGGTCACACTTGGTGTAATCTTCCAGAGAAAAAGCGTCTCCATGCCTGCGGGCACCAATGGACTCCACCACCACCTTGGCACCGGGGATTTGGTCCTGAACATAGCGATCCAAAATCCTATCAATCAAAGAAAATACAAACATGACATTCTGATAGGCTTCCTGGGAAGAACCAATCACCCTACACTCGAAATGAAGTTTAGTAATGAAAAATGTTGACAGTCAGGTTATTGCTGTTTACTGCACATGAACCCAAGAAAAGAAATCTCTCTGTTTTTAGCATCAACTCTCAATGATGCTGGAAACCAGACAAGGTAAAAAGAGGTCACTAACTGTGTCCTATTTAAGTCCAGAGTTTTTGAATTTATAATGTCATTTGAGCTTGGATGTAGCTCATGGGAAATGTCAACTATGTTGTACAAATAAAGCTGTCTACACTTCAATAGAAGCGTGGGTCCTGAGACCTTGATTTCACATGGTCGAAGCCATAAATTACACCTCATACCAGAAACTAGTTTATGGCACATAGCAAAATGCTACAATCATAATTAGGATACTGTCTTTTCCAGGGGTGTAGAGATCGTTAAATCATCATATAAGTGAATGTCTATATATGTTTTAAAGGCAAATTTATAATGTTAAAATATGTATATCCCATGCAAATCACAGAAGCTATTTAGATTAATATAAACAGCTTAAAATACAATATAGAGTAAGCATATGTGATATTAAAGAGGGAAATATTAACTAAAAGCTAATTTTAGGACAAGTACCTTTTTCTAATTGCATTTTTTATTTTAATTGAAAATACAATTATTTCCCCTTAAATCTTTGTTTTTTAAATTTCTACAAATAACAGTTTCTTTACTATCCTTTTTCAAGTAAAAACTATTTTACTGACCTTTATAGATGAATAATGGAATACATATTATTTATTATTTGTAAGTATTTAAATGTGAAATAATTATTATCAACTTACGAGGGTGAGGTATTTTTTTTTGTCTTTTTATTTATTTATTATTTTCACTACCCATCTCAGACTCACAGTGATCCTCCTGTCTCAGCCTCCCTGGTGCTGGGATTACAGGCATGCACCACTACACGCAGTTTAAGTGGCTGGCACAGCAGGACACTGGCATGGCATGTGATACCTGGAATCGAACCCAGGTCCTTGTGCTTGCCAGGCAGGTACTTATTCTGCTGTGCTATCTCCCCAGACAAAAGTTATTAATTTATAAGTTAATGTAACAAATATTAAAGTTATCTGTAAATTTGATGTTCCTCATTACATCCATATAGTGTTTTCTCTAAGGAATAACATATTCTAAATTCTGTTAATACATCTGAAAATACTTTTTGCTTTAGATATGAAATTGACCTACTTTCTGCTCTGTTAAAATAGTTTCTTTAACAGTGCTGTATGTGCTTGGTTGGTTTTATTACAAAAACAAAGACACTAAACTTTCAAGGAAATGCCAGGTGACACCACCAATGACAATGAAATATTTTGTCCATTTGCTTTTAAATTTTTATAAACCAGAAGAGTTGATGGCTGTCTTAGAGTCATTGTTTTCCTATTCTCTCATCACCCCATACTCACTCTTTTTCACTTTACCATCTTCCTTTTCTCTGATGAATTACTTCCAGAAAAATAAAGTTGTGAAAAAAACACCCTAAAGTGAAAAAATCCACTTTGCAAACTTCAGTCAGAAGTTGAATTCAATTCAATCAATGTAGTAGGGTCCATAAACTACATTATCTGCTTATGTTTTCAGATGTTTTTCTGAGCAATTTATGCTCATCAAAAAATAAAAATAACCTTGTAGCAACCTACCTAATACTCATGACAGTTTATGTGTACTAAAAGTAATACCAAAGCATTGGAGAACAGTTTTGGTTTTGAAATTTTTATTTAGCAATTATAGAAACTTAGACAAATAATTATGTTCTCAAATTCTAAGTTTCCTTTAATAAAAATTAGAAAATCACCTCATGCATGAAGTTTTTTGTTTGTGTTTGTTTGTTTGGCAGAACAAGGGATTGAACTCAGGCCCTTGTGCTTTCCAGGCAAGTGCTTATTCTACTGAGCCATCTCCCCATTACCTCATGCATGTAGTTTTGTGTGTACGAAATGAATTAACTCTTTGATACAAATTTCTCTCAAGTTTCACTAGAAAAAAGGTCCATAAGATACAATTTTTGATATTAATATAATTTTGGCTTCAATATTTGGAACAGGAGTCTTCTCCCTTGAATCTATTTCAAGATGTTTAAATTGTGGAATTATTAACGAAGCATTTCTCACTAACACTATCAATGCACAAATCAAAAATACATAGATGAAGACAGCTCTCTACACCAGAGTTTCAGGTGCACAATGAGAACTTCTGTGGTGCATTAGGCATTTCCAATGGCCCAAGGAAATCTGTTCTATGTAAGCAGAGTGGATAAACTCTACAGCACTCCTCAATGAAGACACATTTGCATCGAGCTTATGCCTTTACCTATGTTTCACTGCAACAGTACAGTACTGTATGTCAATGAAATGTTAGTTGTGCAGTAACACATAAATATGCTAATTCCTTCATGAAGCATGTTATCAAAAATCAACAAATTTCTAAAAAATTAAATCACAGCTAGCCAAACAGCTCAGTGGATTAAAGTGCCTACAAACGGGTGCAGGGGCTGGGGTTTGATCCCTGGGCCTGCTGTGCCTTTCCTGCCCCCCAGGGCATGCTGAGAGGGCAATTGAGACTGGGCATGGTGCGCCTGTAATCCCAGCTCTTGGGAGGCTGTAAACAGGAGGATCACTATGAGTCCGATCTAGTAGTGAGACCCTGAACACCCTGCAGACCCTTTCTTAAAATACAAAAAAAAGATATAAATACAAATAGAAAATAAATAAAAAATATTAAATCACTTAAAAGATGAAATAGTATCTTCTCTTGGAGCATTTTATTCTTAAAGTCATAGGGATCTTTTGAGGATGAAGTATACCTTATGGTAAAGAGGCTTAATTTGAATTTTCCTTTTTTTTTTGAAATTTTTTTTCATTTGATATAGGCTCTAACTATGCCATTGAGATTGATAGTGATCCTCTTGTCTCAACCTCCTCATCACTGGGATTATAGGTATGCACCACCACTCCCAGTTTCAGGGCTGGAACAGCATGCCTGGGGTTCTGGGGCTGACATGGCATGCAGTACCGGGGATCAAACTCAGGACCTTGTACTTGCCTGGCATTAGCTTAGGATGCCAAGCTGTCTCCCCAGCCCTCCTATATCTTTTACCAAAAAAAAAGAAACCAAATATTATACTTTTTAAATGAAAATATATTTTAAGAAAATAGTATCTATATGTACATACTAAGTATTTTCTAGATGTATATCCATTATATATTGTTGTGTATATATATTTCAGTATATATGTGCATTTCTGCATATGTAGATACAGTCATGTATATGGAAAGTATGTATGGGATTCAGATATTTAGGTAATCTTAAATGATATTCATCTAACAGGTAATATTTATATCATATCACATAACAGAGATGTTTATGATGATATGAGTTTAGTATCTATATATTTTCTTTATGTATTTTTTTATAGTAGGCATGGTAAAAAATAATGAATTATAAAAATATGTGTGTTTAACTCTATTTCATCTCCTTTAAATTCTTTTTTGTTGTTGTTGTTATTTTTGTTGCGGAACTAGGGATTGAACTCAGGCCCTTGCACTTGCCAAGCAAGCGCTTTCTCTACTGAGCTATCTCCCCAACCCTCCTTTAAATTCTTAAGTAAAATATCTTACCAGTAAGTCCAAAATTTTAACTTAAAAGTATAAAATTTAAATTGGATGGAGAATTGATAAAATTTCATGCAGTAAGACTCAGGTAAATAGAAATATTTTCACTCACTGATTCTTTACCATGTATTCACTATGTGCTTTTCAGGATTTTGTCACTGAGGTACACACATAGAATGCACCACAAATGGCACAAAAATTTCTGATATCAAAGAGCTTACAGCCTACTTGATAAACCAAAAACACATAATGAAATAGTAGAATTAGTGCAAGTGTTCTGAAAACGTATTGCTGAGAACTTAATAATTGATCAAATGAGACAATTAATGACGTGAATTTTCTGCTAAAGAATATTCTAGGAAAGGAACTGCCAATTGCTTGTGCACATGAATGATGCCATGATCCATGAATAGAGCAGACAGTTCTGGGGACAGACCATGAGCGAGAACTGGGACTTGAGACGCCCTTGACTCTGTGTAAAATAAAAATTCAGTGCCAGGTTTAAAACATTGAAGCAAAATGAACAATCCTACATTTGGAAGACATTTACTTGCTAGTAGGTTGGAAGCAGCAAAGAAGTAGGGGCTGAACAAAAAACAGGATTAGCTATTTGTAAAGAATTTAAGTAGATGTGCATTTTCTGAAATAGCCTGCTCAATAATTTAGGATAGGATGATAGAATTTGAGCTCTATTAGCCACATACAAACCAAACAACCAAATCGTATTGTCCATATTACTCTTAGTTCTGATTAAATATTACTTATTTATAAGAGGAATAAATACTATAAAATAAACCAAAGGAAACTACATTTAATTGAACAAATATTTACATTAATTCCAAGTTGAGTGAATACATGCTACTTTTTGTGTTTTTTTAATTTACTTTTTAATTATGATAAGGTTAACTTGTATTAACCTATTCTTCACCTAACAAAACATGAAAGCAAGGCAAAAACTCACACACCAATTTGCTTTTCTTTCTTCCTTGAAGTGTGCATGAAGACTCTTAAGGAAGGACAAATCTTTTGAGGTCAGACAGCTTCTTTCACTATCGTTTTTGTCAAATACTGAGCATAGATCCCCTGCAGGTGTTGCCGAAGACTCTTTGTCTGCTCTGGAACGTTTTGAACTTAAGTCCAGTGTTTTTTATTTAAGAGTATTTTTCAGGTGGCGATACCACGTAAAACGTGGTCTAAGGGTTGCCCTGGCACTGAAGAGTGCCGACACCCCAAGAACCTTGCAAGTTAAGCACAGCCACGTAGTGCGGCAAATGCTTTTGAAGATATTTGTAGAAAAGGTCCTTCCAGCACAA